ATAATTTGCAAAAGCATGATGGACTGGCGGCCACCAGTAGCACTCGTTGTTCACCTTGATCCTTTATGTGATTTCCTGGACAATATGCTTTCGTCTCACCTCCTCCTCCTCTGTATAAGGATGGGCGATATTGCGAGACTTCAAGTAACTAGCAACTACGTGGTTTGTTTAGGAAATTTTAAGGTCAAACCTTGACAGGGAAAGATCTCTTACTTATAAAACTTTGTCGTCATTCGCTATGCATCCTTTGGATTTTCTGTCAGCTTAAGATTAACTCTAAAGCTAATATTAGGTTTAGGGTTATGATTTTCTCTGCGGATAGCCTTCAACTCAAGGTTACGCAATATGATTCGGTGCAAGTATTGAGTGTAGATTTATGCTTTAAGCAAAACGTATTGTCGAGTTTGGAGTCGGAATATGCTATTGGTATCCGCTTTAAAAGTTATATTTTCGTGATCTTAGTTTTCCACATGTTTGGATACACCAGGGAATAAGTTGTGAGGGTGGGGTGGTGACGATGAGTGTATAAATTGATTCCGCTGCCTTATTCAGTCCCAAGAATCTGCGCACAAAATTATCGTTTACTATTTCAACTGCCCTACGGGGTGGACCAACAGGCAATTGAATAGTTTACTGACTTTGCATTAAAAGACAGAATTTTAACAATCACCTGGGGAGGATTAAATATTCGAGTGGGTGAATTATAGTATAATGTGACAATTTGTAACGTCCGTGGGACAGGGAAAGATTCTGGAATTTCCAATCATATTAACTCATTTGGCGAAATCATAGCCTCCATAACTTATCTTTGATAATTCAACCCAGGCTCAATTCGCCTTGACTGTGTTAGCCACTCAAAACCAGGCAGTGACCTTGCATTCAGTTAGTCTCGGATGTAGTAGTGATTAGTCCCTTTCTAACTTTATAAATAACGCTTTAAAAGGCTACCATCATTTTTGGTAAAATGCACCTTCATGAATTCCGTGCTGAACTTATTCCGCTTTTTGGTCATTTTGAGATTGGGGGTGGGGTCAAGACTAAGCCGAAATCCAACCCGAATCATATCCATACTCTGTAGACTTCTAACTGGTTCCTCTCTACTTGGGTAGCTGTATTCAAGCTGACGTTTTAACTTTGCATTCTTAAATCAGCCCAAGAAGTGGTCACTCCTGAGGGCGTTTCTTTACGGGTGGTTAGTAGGGCTGCAAATTTGTTCTCCCTGGTGACTTAAGACCAAAAACGTTGGTCTGGAGTTAATTTGTCTAGTTTCTGCCCCTCTAGGACTCGACTTCGCCAAATTAAACTAGATAATTCAATTGACCTAATGGTGAACAATTCGTGACCTCGGTGGGATTCGAACCCGCATCAGCAGGGAGGGCTTTAGTACAGCCAACGACCTACCAATTGACCTACGAAGGCACGCCGAGAGCTGTGAATTTA